CAGAGTGATCCTGTATATTTAATCATTTGATCATAGATCTTTATTTGTAGAGTTGGAAGCATAGTTTTCTAAGTGCCTATCTTAAAGGTCAATCAGAAATTCACAAAGAAGCAACTTGAAATAATAATACCAGGCATGTGAGAGGTAAGTTTCAATTCATAAAAACTTTACTCCTACTCAGGTTTTCGAGGACATGCTTTCTGCATAAAATGGGATACTAGTATACAGGTGTAGCCTTGTGGGAGGTGGACAACGTCATTTTCTCCAGAAGGAACACAGGTCCTTCCAGACTTCTGGCTGAATCTTGAAAATCTAGAAAGTTCAATTCCTTTAATTTTATTTGATCTTTGTTAAAATATAAATCTATCATCTGGCTACTTTTTAAACTGTTAATAGTCAATTACCTTCTCATTTAAAAATATCTCAAATATTTTCCTAAGAGCTATTTTTAACAATGTGAAAGAAAGAAAATATTCATGCATCAGTTAATTGAGTAATTTGTGAATTCATTGATTCAAGCATTTATTGAATGCCTACTATGAGCCAAACAATAAAACTCTTAAGATGGAAAAAGTTAAGGCCACTATCCTCAAGATGCTTGCTCATAGCCTAGTCACAAAGGCAAAGTCACGGACTGCTAGTGTGGATGGTGAGGAAGGCAGCCACAGAGGAGCTGCTCCTGGCAACAATGTAAAACAAAGGCTTGAGTTCCAAATGCAACATCCATTTCCCAGTTTGTCTTCTGTCCAATCTGCTGTACTTATCCACCAGGATTAGTTGAACAGAGCAGACCAAAAAAGGAATATAAATTAGGCAAAACTCAGGAGTAAAGATAGAACATCGTTGCAAGAAAATTTGCTGAATCACAAGAATGTTAACTACCAATAAGTATCTCTAGTCTCTGAAGGATTGACTAAATCTTTTATGGGTGTTTCTGAAGGGGGAGGGGGAGAGAAGCAGCAGTCTGGAGTTTGCTTTCTGCTAACTTGCAATCTCCACTCGACTAATCAATCATTTTATGTCTTTTTTGGTGTTTAATGTCTGCATAATGACCTAATGGCAAAGAGAAATGAAGACAGATGCATTCATTTGCATGAGTTCACTTATAT